CCTGGGGGCACAGCCGGCTTTCAAGGATTTGCTTTGCCCGTCAGCCTCAGCGGGAGTGCGTTGCCAGTTTGTAATTTCTGTGCTCGCTGAATCAGGGAGGGAGCGTTGGCAGGATTTTGATCCTTTTCACCCGGTTTATTGTGGGAACAGAGTTGCGAGCTGCGGCCCTCGCCTTTCGCCCCTAAGGTCGGTCCCTTTCCCTGCACGCTGCCCCCCCTTCCCCTGCTGTGCCTGCCGATGGGCCAGGTCACACAGCAGGGCAGCACCCGCGCACCCTGGGAGTGCTGGGCGGTGGGCCACGGGAACCGGCACGTCCCTCTCGCAGTCCTGCAGCAGCCTGAAAGAGTTCAGTTAAAAGGAAAAATGCTCCAACCTCTTCCAGCTTACCTTATTTCATTTTGATATGTAGATCCTGAGAAGGAAAAAAAAAAAGAAAAAAAAAAAAGAGATGTGTTTAAAATGCAGGAAACTAAAATGCCACCTACTGTAGAGCTGCTCTTAGAGCATGCACTGTGTTCCAGCTACCACAGGGGCATCTCCCCTCCCTGTTTACAAAATCGTGCAACGTCCCTGTAGAATAGCTTACACAGAAATTGGAAATTGGGCACGCAGCACTGAAGGTGTGCTTCAACAAAGAACCTCAGCTTAGGAGCTACACGTCATTGAAAGTTAACGTACTCCTGAAAAACGCGACCCCCTTGTAGTTAATGCGAGTGGCTGACACCGATTACTTTGGAACCAATTTATAAGAGAAACAGCAAGGTGAAAGTAAGGAGCATCTTAAGCAGGTCATGGTTAAGAGCGGGATCTGTCTGCTCACGCTTCTGCTCACACGGTCTTTGCACAGCACCAGAGCTGGCACAACTAGGAGGTTTATATCTAATTGAAGATACTTTTTAACATATAGACCAATTGTGAAGGTTCACTTACCTTTCTTCTTTAGGCAGCAGCAGCGTACAACGACCGCAATAATAATGATCAGAAGAATAATACCAACAAGTGAAAGCACAACTGCAAGTACAATAACCCACGTGCTTCTGCTGTCTTCACTGTAATCATTTTCTGTTAAATTAAATGGAGAAACATTGTACTATTAGAGCCTCAAAACATCCTTTTCAGAATATTTACCTTTTCTGCGAGAAGCTATTAACTGCTCGTTGATTATTTAACAAGGAGTCTGTGTTTTCCAAATGACAGACTCTGTATTTATGGATGGTGCCCAAGAATTTAAAATGTTTCCAAACAGAAATTCTTTATTGCAATTGTAACTTTCCCACAGCTACTTCTCTTCCGAAAAACACAGGGTTGCAATCTTCCAACCTAAACTTTATTTTGTAGATATGCTGGGCCTCCCAACACCCTTCGGAGACATTTGGGGTTGGGAAAAGGGGTTAAGATTCAATTTAGATGTCTATACTGCTGATATTAAACATCTTGCCTAGCTGCTCTTGTCAGTGGAGAGAAAATGGGTATTTTGGGCTACAGTTCATTTGGCCAAATGTGTATGTGTCCCTTTGGGTAAGATGAACAGCTCTGAAGAAGTGTCCATTTCTCCCCACAGACTACAGCGATAGTCTTAGGTGACTAGTACAGATGGAGATCTCTAGCCTGTAGATATGATTTTCTGATGAATCTCATCCTGGGATTTCTTTCACTGATTTCAGCAGGTGTTTGATTTTGGGACATACTTGGTAGGGCATCTGTTATCCACCTAAAAAGCAGCGAAGAGCAAAACCTGTAAAGAGTAGCACCGTTTGGGAGTATGCAGCGACTAACCCATCTTCACTACTGACGTTCTCACAACATTAACTTATTCCTTTGCCTTTGCTGTAATCTACAGAGTTAAATGAGGTGATTTTAAGACAATTCAGTATCTTGCTGAAATCGGTTGCTATGACCAGTTTTCCTACAGAGCTCTAACGTACCCAGAATCTTAAAAATATCCTGTATTTCTCACGCAGCCGAATGCACAAGGAAGATGTCGGTTCTGATTGCCACATCATCCTGCCCTTTGGTTTTGACCAAATATTTCAGAAGGAGCTCTAGTTTGGCTATCCTTTGAAAAGCAGCCCCAAAGTCATTTTGGCAGATGTTTAGAAACAAACTTCCAATCCAAATTACAGGTGTGAGACGCATCCAAACTTGACAAAACCCATTCTGTTGTACTGGGTTTATGATTGTCATTTCCTCATTAGAGGTCCCAGTTAACGACTGCATGGCCACATTTAGCTGGCAGCCTCTGGAAAAGGTACCGCAGCAATGTAGGTGACTGGTAGCTGCGCAGGGTCAGGGCTATGCCCCTGATGTGTGAACCAGCGTATCTGCTGGTTTACCTATGGCAGAGAATAAAGAAGTAAAACCTTTCTGTCTACAAATTTGCCTGGGCATGTGTTTGGGGTTTGGAGGTTTCAGACTGCAGAGATACAGGACCAGAGCCTCCTACAAAGCTTGAACCTCTGTTAGGAGTCTGCATTCTCCAAATCTCAGGTCATTATGATTAAGCGATTTGTTCCAGTCTTCTCTAATCCTAATGCTCAATCAGCACATTTTGAATTTCTTCTGACTACTAGAGAAAACAAGCACTCAGTAACCTGCAAACTAGTAGTTAATTCAGTAGGCTGTAATCAGTTGTGATTACAATTGGTGATAAACTTGTTCGTAATATTTTTATCTAGAAGTACTGCAACAAATACCTATATTCTATCATGTTTTGCTCCACAAAGCATGCCACAGGGATTTCAAGATGCCTAAAATATGAAAGACAGCTATTTAGCTATAGGGGAAAGCTTAACCTTAGTGTGAAGGGAGGAGCTAAACACACCTGCACTGGCCCAAACCTCAAGGCTGGCTGCCACACCAAGGCATTTTGCTCCCTGTCAGCTTCAGGTTACATGCCAAAAGAGGATCTACAGAGCTGAAGCGAGAAGGACAGGATACAACACAAACACTCCTGGCACTTCAGCACTGTAGTTTCTCCCTAGTTTTGGAGGATCCAGAAAGAAACTGGAGCTGGGACCAGCAGGTGTGAATGCAGGAGCTGCCAGCTCAACACGCAAGTGGGGGTGCAACAGAGGGGCACTAAGGCATGAGGGCATTAAACCCCTTTTAGCCCTATTAGTAAATCCACACCAAGTTACATGAGGTGCTTAGTGTGGACGAAGCCACTTCCTCATTCTATAGGACCCATCCTCTGCTGCTATCCTGACCTCTGGCTCCTCCCAAAGCTGCCCAAAAATTTACTTGGGCAAAGTATCTGCACAAAAGGGGATTTTCCCTGGCACATGCTGGTGACCAAGGAGAAATGAGAGACCGGCAAAAGCTGCACATCGCTTCTTGGCCACTTTGGAGCTTTCTGGCTGACTTAAAAAAGCGAAGGAAGATCAGGCTCAGGGCAGATTCCCTATCTTCATCTTTTGCAGACCAAAGGCCACATGAAGTCCACACTGACGCCAAAGAGAGCTTGGGCCCAGCTCTGGGACTCTGCCATGGACCCCATTTCCCAATAACAGCTCTGTGAACGCATCTGCTGGGATAACTCCATAGGAGTTCCCATATCTGGGGCTCAGCCAAACACCACTCTGAGTGAGGTAACTCTGGAGGAGGAGTGACTGACATAAAAATGCATCACCCCGTATGGAAAGGTCTGAGATTAAGACTGATCTAGAGGTGCAGGAAGGTAGGACATTCGTTGCCCAGGAGATGGCTGGCTGAAGAGGGCTCAGATTTTTGGTTGCAGTTCTTGTGAATGGACAGGTATTGCTTGTGAGGAACATGGAGGAATTCAATTCCTCAAGCTTTTAATGGAAGGCTGAAATTGATGTTACAGTAGTTTTGGGAAGGACTCCTTAGATGTTTGAAGCTAGTTGTATTCTTTCCTGACAACAGCTAGCTAAGGCTGAGTCTGTACATGAAAAGTCATACAAGCTCTGAGATTTCAAGTGTGATATATACATTATATATCTTCCTCTGTCGTAAATGCCATGTCTTTATTTCATTCTAATAATTTAAAGACTTCATATTCTCATATACTGACAAATTTTGAGTGTCTGCTGCTGCACAATGATTTTTCCAAAGAGAAATGAATGATGGTCCTATACAATCACTAATTATACACTAATTGTGCTTCATGACATCTGTTTTTCTCCTCTTCTGATTTACAATGAGTAGCTATGGAAACTGAGGGTGGATACCTCAGTACTTCACAAACGAGTAGGCAGGGGAATTTATTAATTTCCTCAGGATAGTTCTATTTTGCTTAGTCAGTAATTAGGAGCAATTTGACTACAAAAAAGTCATCTTAAGAATGGTGAAATGACCTTTTTCAACTGCATTACAAAGCAAGTACTTCTGAAAAAGGCTTGCTAATAATGACTCATACTTAAAATAAAAGGCACAGTTATTCAACCTCCTCGGTTGTTTATATGTCGAAACTTCTATACCAAACCCCTCATCAACCCACTATAAGAATATCTTTGTACGTGCCGTGTTCACCCATTACAGAAGAAGAATCAGTTCATCAAGAGAAGCTGTCAGCATGATCATAGAAGTTCACAATGCTCACCACATCATGAAAAGAAACGTGGATTTGAGGCCTTACTCTGTACAGAAGACAGCTGGGGATGCATAGACTCACTGCAAAAAAAGTCCATATAATCTATGCATTTCCCATACCACAGGATAAGGCTAATAAAAGGGATGTCACTGTATGGTGGACTATGTCACCATAGGTGGCAGTGTACCTATATCCAGTAACCTCAGCTCCCTGCCATGCAATTAGTGCTTCAAGTTTAGTTTGTCTTGAGGCTCCTCTACCTTACAGTTGACACACTTGGCTGGTCCCAACAGAGAAATTGTCTGGTATTGTCTCCCTCGTCTGCATTAAACACTGCTAAGCCACAGGGAGATACTTCCTCTTACTTGCTCTTATTGTGTTACGGTTTGGAAAAGAAAAACTTTTTGCATAGGATTCTGTTCGATTATGAGGCAGATCTGTAGTGAGTCTCACTTGCTTTGTTCCACGCTGGCGGCACAGATCAGATAAAATCATCCTTTTCCTGATAAACCTCCTAATGCTGTGAATGTGTTAAATTATGGAATTTACTATCATAGGATAAAGGCCACTGTCACTGAGGCCAAAGATTAGCAGCATTACAAAAAATGCTGACAATGTTAGCGAAAATATTTAGGGTTATCAAAGGTCTAACTGTTCTTGAGAGATTTGCTCAACGGCCATGCTTGGATTAAAGTAACCTTGAATTACCTTAAATAAAAGGCAATAAAAAGCAACCAAATGCACTATCCAAAGAATCCCACATATGTTGCTGCGGGACGAATTTTACCTTCCTCTAAGACGTGAAAGAGACCATATCAGGAAGAGGTAAGCAGGCCCAATGGCTCTTTGATCTAAGTAGACTTTGGGATAAAGCCCATGATACACAGCTTCTCTTGATGACCTGATCCTTGCTCTGTAATGGGTGAACACACCACGTACAAAGACATTCTTATAGTAGATTGATGATAGGTATACAGTATAGAACTTCCTACATACAAATGTTACCATCTGCAATTAGGTGCCAGCCTCAGTGCAGCCCTGGGGATGTTACCACCATACTACAATAGCTCCGTCACATCTGATCACAGCTCATATGGAGAACTTTCTATTTGCATCTGAAGTGCTAGTACCGAATTTATTCTGGGTTGTGTGTGCAAACAGGGAGTAAAATCCAGGGGGTTTTTCCAAGTCAGTGGTAAAACTGGTATTGAACATTATGGAGAAAAATTTCACCTGACGGTTTGGCTTTGAGTAAATGAGATTTAACAAATTATGTTCATATGGCAGGCATGGCCTAATCAAAGATATTTAACATCTAAATTGATTAGATGTTTACCTGGACAAGGAGCAAAGGCCGGTTTTCTTAGCAGTGAATCCATAGTAGGAGTCAGTGGCAGGTGTACTGCTTCGTTTGTCTTGCTCAGTCCTAAGCTGGACTTTGTGGTTCATTAGACTTGTACCAGTCCTCTCACAGATGTGAATTTAATCCTACCTATCAGGTTGTGACTATTGGGTCTTAATTCTATCACCTTCGCACATCTCATAGTATTTCATTTGCAAATACAAGACTTTTCAAAATAAAACAAAGCAAAACAAAACAAAGAGCACAGTTCTGAGAAAACAGTATAGGCAAAGTACAACAAACATTCACTTACCTATAGTAGAGTTGACAAAAATAACAGTTACAGTTGCATTCTGAGGGTTAGGGAGTGCTTCTATGTCAGCTAAACAAGTCAAAACCTCAGTGTCTGTCGGAGTCAAAGTTAGGATGCTCAGGGCATTGTGGAGGTCATTAGATCCTTGACTTTGCTGGGTAACATACTTCGACTTATCAATGAAAGAGTCGTTTGTCATCCAGGCAATGTCTGGAGCTGGAGCCCATCCTAAGGCTTCACAAACAATTTCAACTGTGCTGTTCTCTTTTACTGCTAAGGTGCTATTTTTGATGAATAAAGATCCATTAACTGTAGGAGGGAAAAGATGTTTTGTTCCTTCAGAATATTTGGCTGCATTGCTTTCCTGCTCATAGTTTTAAATCTTATCTTGCTGCCCAAAATTAGCTATGCCTTGAGACATGAATTTAAAAACAATCATTATTAACACAGATATACCGTATGCATAATATAAACTACAGATATTGCAACTTCGCAGACACGTTGTCCAGTATGTCTAAAGCACAAGTCTCGGCTTTCAGTACCTTCACAATAACAAGCAGGAAATTATACTTTTTAGCCCTCCTGATATATTCCCAGCTGAAGGACAACATAATGAAATAACAGTGTTTCTCTCTAAATTTTAAATATGCTTGGGTTTTATCAGGAAAGGTTTACGGGTAGATGATGAGATGTTCTCATTACATGGAGCATCTCTTTGAAAATGGATAGTGTCTGGTAGATCTTGCTTTACTGGCTGCACTCTGTCACTACTGATGCTTCAGAGAGGAGGAAGAGGTCTCATACACAGGGGCTTGATACACAGGAACTTTTTGTTCCTTGGAAATGGTAGCTTGCAGCAACAATCATATGAAGACTACCGCTTTGTGTCTCATTACTTCTACACGCTGTTAAATCAAACTCAAATAAGCTGGATACAGACTGATTCCTGAGTCAGAAATCAGGAAGGAGATCTGCCCTAAAGACAGCAGAAGGTTCATGCACAAAGATCCATACTGTTTCTAGCCAAAAGATCATTTTTGACTGACTGCTGGTGGGCCTGATATAACCTTCAGGCACTTTAATGCAATCCAATAAAGAATAAGAGATGTAACAGGAAAAAACAAGGGCAGTTCAAAACCTTGTTAATGGCACTCTGAATGTGACTCTGAAACCTGCTTTGACAGTAAAATTAAGACAAGGAGGACAGGAGGCAAAGGATGGTAAATGAGAGCATGTACTCCTTCACAGGGATAATTTGGGCAAGTCATCAGAGGATTCCTTTAAGTGCCGTATAATAAAATAGCTTTCTATTGATGGCTATACGCACCTTGAACAGAAAGAAATGCAAAGCTGCTCTCACTAAGTTGCTGGATGCTGCATTCAATTTTTCCAGAGTCACTCAGCTGTGTGTTGTGGATGATCAGCTCTGAGGTAAACCCATTGCTACTGGTATAATTTTGAGAGGTGAAGCGGTCTGATGTTTCAACAGCTCCTTGAGAATTGATGACAGTGAGGACAGGATTTCCATTGGACAGCCAAATGAGAATTACCCATCCCACCGACACAGTGCAATTGAAGTGGGCTTCTGAACCAGCAAGGACTGTTGCATTAGTAGGGCCATTTATAATAGAGTAACAAAAGCCAAGACCTGGAAGGAAGAAAAAACCACAGTCTGTAAATACATATACAACACCACCACCAAAGGCCTTTGACTTAATTTTTACTGCCAGCAATTTAAGGCTAAAAAGCCAGGCGCCCCGGTTCAAATAGTGTTATTCACTAGGAACACTGGGGTATTAAGCACTTAGTCATGTATCAGGAAAGACTGTTGATTCAGCTGAGCTGGCACTTCACCTCTGACAGTCGTCAGCACCTGATACTTTCAGGAAAAGATTATTGTCTCATTTTCTGTAATGCCTGTCAGTAAGTAGTCAAAAGGTATGTATGGTGAATTGAAATTGCAACTGAGTAATGTTAATCCCACAGCAGTAAACAGTGGTCAAATGCTACATTGTTATAATGGATCCCCAAGCCAATCACTACAGACCCAAGAAGTACAGGTTTATATAGATTAAAAGATCTTAAGCAGTTCAGAGATGGAGATGTACAATCTAATCTTTCAGCTCCAGCTTAGATTAAATGGTTTTCTTTAAAGATGCATTTGATTTTTGGTCTCTCCTCCTCCCACTCCAAAATCAACTAACTTTCTCTTTTCAGTGATTCACTAAAAAGCTCGCTTATCATTTTGCTGAAAGAAAAAAGTCCCACTTTTAAATCGGAAAATACATGAGTTCTCTAGACTTTAAATAAATAAAGGAGTATGTAACTGGTCCCTTTTCCATACCTCAGATTGCCACTGATTTTTTGCAGCCTCAGCATATATCCTTCCATGCTCTTTCCCCTATTCATCTGCCTCTTCCCTTATTTCTCATGCATGCATCACATACATCCTTCCCCACCTTCTCAGGCTTTCTGTTAGCCAGAGCTGCTGTAATTCATGAGTTTTTCTCTTTAAAAGGTAGTATGAATTTTGGCTACTATTCTTCAGAACTGAAAGCTCATTTCTAATGAAGGCATTCTGTTTTCCTTTCCTCCTCAACAGACCCAGGGCCTCCCGTTGCCCTCAGAGGAACGAATGTGCAGCTGTTGCCCAGGCAGATGGTGGATCCACTGCGCGTGGGAAGGCAGAAGCACTCGCTTCTACCAAGCAGAAAGTGAAGGAAGGATGAAGGCAGAGACCTTTTTTTCAGAGCAGCAGCTGTGACTTCAGTCCCTGAAATAGCTAGAGGAAATGGGTGCTATTTTGAAGGTGGGCAAATTTTAAAGTATTTCTCAGAGATGGACATCACTACCCTAGTCTTCATGAGGGACAAAACTTCAAACTGTAAGAACAACCCAGATTATTTGGTTGATGTCTTAGGGAACAGGACTTGAGAGAGCAGTGTTGTATGAAATCAGGAACCTACTTCTCTGGGTCTTTGTTCTTTGTGAATCCCTTTGGATTTTGGCTCAGTTCTCCAGAGTAGGCTATGTCCATGTGCAGTAGAGCAAAGGCACAGGTACTATTGATGCCTTTCAAGGAGGAGTAGCTGACCAAATGGCCATAGAGTAATTCAGGTTGGAAGTGACCTCAGGAGGTCTCCAGTCCAGCCCATCTGATAAAGCAGGATCAGTTCTGAGGTTGCACCTGGTTGCTCGTGGCTTTATCCAGTCAGGGCTTGAAAACCTCCAAGGATGGAGACTGTACAGCTTCTCTGGGCAACCTGCTCCACTGCCTGACTGTCCTCATGGGGAAAAAGCTTTTCCTTTTCTCCACTCTGAACCTCTTTTGTTTCAACATATGCCTGTTGTCTCTCGTCCTCTTGCCATTCACCACTGTGAAGAGCCTGGCTCCATTTTCTTGACAGCCTCCTTGCAGGTACTGGCAGGCTGCCATTAGAGACCCCGCTGCCGTCTCTTCTTCAGGCTGAAGAAGCCCTGCTCCGTCAGCTGCTCCTCACAGGACAAGTGCTCCAGCCCATTACCATCTTGTGGCCCTCTACTGAACTTGCTCCAGTTTATGAATGCCTTTCCTGTACTGGGGAGCCCAAAATGGTACGCTCTCATAAGCCAGTCACTTAACTAAGTCAGTGCCACCCACAGCCTTGCTGGTTGCAGGTGGAGTGGAGGGGGAGGGAGAGGACTGCCATTGCAGGCTCTGCTGTCACCAAGGTTCATCTCAGGGGACTGCCCGTGCTCTGTACACATCCCACCAGGCACAGCTCTTTCTCATCCCACACAGCTGCTATCGTCTCTTCACCTGCCTCTAAGCTCGGGTCTGCTCCCTTTTGGCCTAGTGCTTACCTGCACCTCACTGTGACAGAGTTGCTCTTTGATGGGGGCATTGAAAGGTTTCAGTGGCAAGGGACCCCAGGAAATCTCTAGCCCAACTCTCTGCTCCAAGCAGAGCTAACTTCACAGTTATGCCATTTGCACAGGGCCTTGTCAAGTCAAATTTTGAATATCTCCAAGGATGGAGATTTCACAAGCTCTCTGCAGACCAAGCAGTCCTGCCAGTGAGATCTACCTCACCAGTGTTTTTCACCACCTACTGGGAAACGTTCATGCTGAGGAAGCACCAGGACTGCCAGTGCTACCCCTAACGATTCAGGCTATAGTCTGCGTAATTACAGCAATTAGATACTACACTCCATAGCAGTCTAATTAAGACCCTGTGTCTGCAAATTTGGCCTGAGCATAAGTGTTCAATTATTTTCCAGGAGAAAGAAAGTCTGAAATGGCCATTGCTGCCTTGCTAAGAGTATTCAGGACAATGAAGTGATTTTTAAAGGTTTCATTCAACCCAGGTTTTGTACATTTTAGGTAGTTTATTCATTTATAGATTAATTACAATTTATTGAAAAATTCATTTTTCATTCAGTCAACAGCTGACGTGAGTACGGGAGAAAATGCTGTATTGTTTCACACAAAAGAGATGCTTGGTAGTTTTATAAATGGAAACAGAGCCCAATCTCAGTTACGACGTTGCAACCAGAGCCTTTGTGAACGGACCCAGGGCATAGGGTCTGTAACCTCATTGCTCCAATGTCAACATCATTCTCCAATTTGCAGATCACATTTAATCCTAGGCAGTGTATATCTAACCAGGTTTGTGCCAAGAATTGTTCTTTAATATAAATAGCTCCTCTCTTTCCTCCCACCCGCCACATGTATTTACAGACAAGAGCCTTTTCATTCTTTGTTTTGCAGGATATGCAAACCTATCTAACCAGGTTTGTGCCAAGAATTGTTCTTTAATATAAATAGCTCCTCTCTTTCCTCCCACCCGCCACATGTATTTACAGACAAGAGCCTTTTCATTCTTTGTTTTGCAGGATTATGCAAACCTAGCTCTCCCTCGTTCTTTGTATGATTGACTCTGAGTTCTCTCATGTTTACAAAAACCTTTACAAAAATTTTCCACCTTCCTGGGTTATGTTACCTCTGCCATGCACCTCATTCTCCAAAGTATATCTGCGTGTGAGCAATAAAACATTAAATGAAAAGCAAACTTCACTTCTACTGGTAGTTAATAAAGCCAGATAAGATACAGTAAAGCATATTTCTGTTCAACTTAAATGGCTCATTTTTTCCAGTAGCATTTATTCAAAGCTCTCTTCAGACTTGTAAAGGTGAACTGAAATGCTTGAAAACATGAAACAGCTTGAAGACGAACTCGGCAATCAAATCTATGTGCATACCTTAATACGTTGCTTTTTTTCCTCTCTTTTCTATTTGTCAGTTCTGAGTGTTAGAGATTGGCCACATATCTGTGGATGGCATCATTTACAGAGCTATGGGTTTTCTAATGAACGTGCACTGATGAAGTGCATTCTAGTGAGACCATTTGTCACATAATATGGCCCTCTTCCCTCATATTCAACATCTAGTTGTCATGATTTCTATTCATAACTTGTATTACCAAGGTTGAGACACTGTCCTAAGCTCAAACATGTCTTTGAATTATCTATTTTTTCTTGACTCATATTGTAGCCAGCCTTTACAATACTACTCCCTGTACATCTATGGTGTCTATAACATGTTCCTGTGCTGAGTTTTTTGATTTTTACACTTTGAATTCTTCCTGACTGGTTGAAGTGGTCATAAACAGCTACCATGATGATAGACACAGCCATGAACAAAATTCCTTAGAGTTAACACCAAAATCATTTAGTTGCTCATGAAACAGGAGCTGCAGTACTTATCCATACTGCTCTTCTTAATGCAAACTGATCTCTGTGCATTTGTAATTTATTTCTATGCCTGTGCAAACATTTTACTTTCTTAAGGAGCTGTGGTTTGCCACGGCTCTGAATAAATGATGTGACTTTCAGTACACTGCTAGCTGTTAATTAATAATTTGCTATGAGATCATGTCTGTGAGTTCCATTATAGTCTTGAAATTTATCCCTAAACGTGAATAATCAGTGATCATCAGCTCTAAAAATACATGGCTGATATTGCTTTTGTTTTCTTCAGACAGTCAGGACAGTATAGGCAGGTAGGTATGAGTTATTCCTTCATTTATCTAATATAATATTTTTTTATCAGTCCATAGGTATGGTAGGATCTACATCTTCTTCCACCAACCACATCTGCTGAAGCAATAGATGGTCTTTCACTGACTTCTGTGAGCTAGGGAACAGGTCCATAAGCCCTGTATGGGGATCCTATGGGCAGCAGGAGGACTGAGGGGTGGGACATAGCACAGCCTTGCCTCCATTTAGATCTAAGTAAAGCCCCAGCACAACCAAAAAAGGAGCTTCATGAGCCTCTCCACCTGCTGCCAAAACATTTTTGGTGGTTTTAACTTTACCTCTTTATCTTTTTGCTTTTATTTTTTATCCTGCAATAGAACATGGAGTCCTGAACCAACAGTCCGTTCCATTGTCCAATCCACGTACAAACACTGATAAAGTAACTCGTGTAAGGTCAAAGAGGACATTCATGACAGAAATGGGATCTAAACCCAGTTACCAGTGCTTTAAGCCAGTGCTGTAAGTCCTTTTGCTGGGCCTTGCTTCTTGCACTAAGGAGAAAATTTTAGTGCTAGTTTCATTTACATACTGCTTAAAAATACCTTGCAGATGGTTGCTTTTAGACAAATTAAGGTCTCAGGCTAGACTGTCATTGCACTTTACAGGAATTACGTGTTCTGCTTTTCACAGCTGGTTTAACATCTGCTTCCCCACACACAATCAATGAGGAATCCCACCCAGGCAAATATCATCTTTGCAATAGGGAAATGTTAGGCTGTCTTCATGATATTGCCTTACCCCTTGATTTTTGAAGAACAAAGCTGAGTTAGGACACCTTCTTTGAGGCACATGACTAAATGTTTATAAAGCAGTCACCAGTGGTGAAAGTTTGCTTAAACTGGTAAGTATGGTATTTCAGTTGCCTAGTCCTTCCCAACAGCATGCAGCATATACCAACCCCTTTATGAGCTGCTTATTCCCTCCTCTGTCACACAAATTCACTGTCACATCACTGGGGGCTTTGAAGAAACAAAAATGCATCTCGTTCCCTGGATGAAACCTGCACTGAGGGAACTTCATTTGCCAAAGAACCGCCCTTGCCATTTGTCACTGATGTTTTTTCTTCCTCACTTGAACTAACTTTAAAGGACCACTTTTTCATAGAATCATAGAATCATAGAATAGTTTGGGTTGGAAGGGATCTCTAAAGGTCATTTAGCCCAACCCCCCTGCCGTGGGCAGGGACATCTTCAACTCGATCAGGTTGCTCAGAGCCCCGTCCAACCTGACCTGGAATGTTTCCAGGGATGGGGCATCCACCACCTCTCGCCCTGCGCCCTGCTAAGAAGTTTGCCGCCATATTTTTCATAAGCCCGTCCTGATAGGCTGCAAGAAGGTCTCCCCGAAGCCTTCTCTTCTCCAGGCTGACAACCCCAACTGTAAAAAATTTCTTCCTTATATCTAGTCTAAATCTACCCCCCTTTAATTTAAAGCCATTCCCCCTTGTCCTGTCGCAACAGGCCCTGCTAAGAAGTTTGCCGCCATCTTTTTCATAAGCCCCCTTTAAGTACTGATAGGCTGCAAGAAGGTCTCCCCGAAGCCTTCTCTTCTCCAGGCTGAACAACCCCAACTCTCTCAGCCTTGGGGTTGTTCAGCATGTTTTTCATGCTGAAGGTTTCAGCAACAAGGGCATCGAGACATGGCTACCTTCTTTTCCTTCCCTCCTCTCCTCTGCTGACTCTGTCTTTCCTCTTTTATAAGTGACCAATTTGGATGCAGTGCAGTGAAGGACAGGATGGACTTATCCTTTTGCCATTATGATTCCTTTTCTTTCAGCCTCATTATCGTATTTCAAAATAATCTCCCCCTCTATATCCGTATCGCCCTTCCATAAACCCTGCCTTTTATCTTTCAGTTTTTGTGTCTAGTCTCTGTCTTCCTCCCTTCCTTCTCTGCTATTTCTGTTTGGATTTCCACATTTTTTTCCTTCCAGTCTGTTTTAAATTTGTTTTTCTTTTCATTCTTTCTTTAGTCTCCTGCTCACCCCACCTTACCTTCCGCCTTTCCTGCCTCATTGCTGGCCCACTGCTCTAGCAACAGCTCTGCAATAAATTGTTCTGGATTTGGTAAGATTTTTTTTCAGCACATCTCCAGTTTATTTCAAAAACCAACAACCCGGAAGCTGAGCTTTTTGAAAACCAAAATTTCCACCCACCTGCATACAAATCTCTCCACAGGAACAGAAGTGTGTCTTCCCATCTTTTCTCTTACTCACTGTTTGACAGCTGTCCCTTGCAGCCTCTCCTGGCTCTGCTGCTGGACTACTCCTCCTCTCCTCCTGCACTGTCTCTTGCCTCTAGTGGTGAGGGTCCCCAGGCTGGGAGCACCGCAGCAGCACCACCACCAATATCCTGGCAGCAGGCTGGGACCTTGCACTGCACGTCAGCTCTGTGGTCTGCAATACTATTGCTGCCAAAGAGCATGCTGTGCCCCTCCACGGGGATGCTCAAACTGGCTGTGCCATGCAGCCATCTCGGCAGCCTAGCCACACCACTCAGCCTTGTGACTCCTGGTATCCTGAGAGCAGCAATACTTCCTTCAAGAGCAACACTTGACTCTCCACAACACACTTTTTGTCTCTGCTTTGGGGTGTGCTCCCATGGCTGCCCCGCATAGTGTGGGCAATGCCTGCTACCCCAGTACAGCTTGCAGGTGAGGCAATAAAACACCCATTGCAGGGGTGTTTGACTAAAATCATTAGTGAAGGGTAATAGAAACCCTCTCAAACACATAGTACTCTGCTCTGGAAGCTTAGGAAGAGAGTGCAAGAAACAGAACAAATAAAAATTGAAACTTCCTTGTTATAACTTCTCAGTGTCCAAAAATAAGAGATCTAGGGACTTCCAGAGCCAATGATTGCATTGCATCTACCCTCCATGATATTTATTTCTAACTTCTTTCAGCCTGTTCGTAATTTGGTATCCCCCATATCCAGTGACCATGAGCTTTACTATTTAATTACATACTGTGAGGAAAAGTACATTCTTTGGTTTGCCTTAAACCTTCTTTCTGATAGTTTTACTGGTTGCCACTACTTCTTTTTGTTATGGAAATTGTGAAAAAACATTTCACCATTCACCTCCATATAATTAATTATTTTAATAAATCTTTACTATTTCTTCTTTTTCACAAGCAGAAAAACATCCCAGTCTAATGAAGGCCTCCTCATACCTTTGATCACCTCTGTCACACTTTATACCTTTCTCAGACGTAATATGTCCTTTTTGAAATGGAAGGGCTAACAAAACATCCAGTATTCAAGATATAAGTTTTCTGCGGATTTATATAATGCCATGTTTCATTGTATTTCCCTTGCTGAAGACACTAAGTGGTGAAATTTTCTCTCTTTTTCAGCAATTTACTCTCTTTCCAAGATATCTATTCTTTTCCCCCACCAGACATCTTCAGTTAAGTGATGCTTTGCATTGAATGTTTTCTGCTCCTTTATTACTTACTCACTTGGCATCGTGACATTTTCTGGCAAATCTTCCTAGTCTCTTTTTGGATTTGGCTGCCCTAAGTAATTCTGCACCACCTGCAAAGTCTGCCACCTCACAGTTCACTCCTCTTCACTAGGTTGTTTAAGAGCTTGTTGAATACCACACATCCCTGTGCAACTCCACTGGGAACACCACTCTGCTCAGAAAACTCACCGTTTATTCCTGCATTGTGTTTCCTTTCACCAGTTATTAAGCCATGACAATACCTTCCCTCTCATTCCACTGCAGCTCTCTCCTTTCAGAGCCTGTTAAAACCCCAGCTAGACTATAATAAAAAAAAAATAAATCAGCCTTGTGTCCATTACCCAACCAGTCACTTTATATTCACATTTTCTTTAAAGCTCTGCCATCACCTTTTATCTGAATTCACTTTGAAACTCAGGCATGTGAAATGTAAATTGGAGGCAAACTAGCAAAATGATAATTTGCACGTATTTCTGGAAGCAAAATCAGCTGCTGATATTGAGTTCTCTACAGATGCCCCCTCAAAAGCATTCCCAAATAGACAGGAGGAAGAAGAGCGCGAGGAGAGGGAGAAACAAGTGGGAGATCCCTGCTCACTGGAAGTGAGAGAGGACAGCCTCCCCACCTCCTCGCCACCCCATCCACTGCTCACTCATGCATACTGAAGCCCACTCTAAGCCATCAGATCATTCAGGCTTGAAATGCAAACTTAACCATTTCAAACATTTTAAATAATCCCCCTTTGGGACTGACTGTTCAATCTGATATCACCAGTAACTGTCATTTACACAGCTTTAAAATTAGTTCACACATTTTGTCCACGGTGGCTCATTTCACGGGTTATGAATGTGTCCTACCTGGTAGCGAGGCAGTTAAGATGAGAGGAATTAAAATGAGTTGCTGGAACCTCTCCATTGGAGCATTCTCTCCTGGTCCCTAAGGCAGAAAGCCACCAGCGGTCACTGCATACTTGAGAAGAAGCTGAAGGACAGAACTTATCGAGAAACTCGGTAATGAGCTGCTGCTTTGCGTCCTGTGATAAAATGTGACTTTATGTGACCTGTATTACCAACAAGGGGAGAAGATTAAATGAGGGAGGGTTTGGAAGGAGACCAGTATCTTTTCTCAAAACAACTGTTTCAAAACAAGTAGAGGAGCTTTCTTCAGCAGAGAAACCTGCCCCTATGGACCTTGCATCTCTCACGCCCTTAGTCCCTCCTGGCTATTACAACACTACTGCTTCAGGATTGACTGTGTCAGGAGAGCTCCATCTGCATCAGCAAGATTAAATGAGGGAGGGTTTGGAAGGAGACCAGTATCTTTTCTCAAAACAACTGTTTCAAAACAAGTAGAGGAGCTTTCTTCAGCAGAGAAACCTGCCCCTATGGACCTTGCATCTCTCACGCCCTTAGTCCCTCCTGGCTATTACAACACTACTGCTTCAGGATTGACTGTGTCAGGGGAGCTCCATCTGCATCAGTAAAGTTAATCATGAGCAGCTGGGAAAACTAATTATCTAAGCTGCCCACAATTGCATGTGTATTGTGGGTGCACCATCCGTGCCGCCGCTGGCGTCATGGCAGACTAATGAACCCTGTGCTCCATCACTTACTGTCATGCAGGGCAACTGCACAGGGCGCCAGCTGCTCTCTTGGGGTCGGAGGGGAGCAGACCTCTGTACGGAGGGGTTGTTACCCCCACCTCGGGAAACCAATGCCTCCTGTGCCAGGCAGCCTTCGGGAGAGGAAGCGGGAATATATCCCAATGCGCCGCTACACACAGAAAGTTTGTTTTGATGTCTTTCTGTGTGCTTTACTCCAAAACTAGGATTCCTATTCATACTTTTCCAGGCAGAGCCTGGTACCATCATTGCTGCAGCAGTCCCGTCAGGCCCTCGCCGCACAGGGGCCACCGCAGCTGGGAGGAACAGCTCCTGCCACCCTGGCCTCTCCATCCCACCTGCCTTGGGGCAAGGATGAGAAACACAAAATCTCCTCCCAGCTCCTCAGGCTGAGTGCCCAGAAAGGCTGCTAGTGCAAAGAGTGTCCCCAGAATTATTTCTCTGAACCCGAGAGTGCCTCTTACACCCCAAAATAAAACACCACCAGCTCTCCACCATGGTCAGAGATAAGATACAGAGCTTGGGTGGGAGCCATCACCTTACTTCTGCATTTTCTGCTTTTCCAGCATTTGTGATTCACTTGTGTGATATTCTTCTCCTCCCCCTCAAACTATGTGGGAGAGAGTTTGACTGCACTGCTTGGTTTACAAACGTCTCAGCTAGGAAATTGAAGCTTGCCTTCATGAAAGGGACTCGGGTCAAAGGATGTGGTTTTGTGGCCAGCCCAAATTTCTTGTCAGGAAAGTGTTTTAGATTTCAGGGGTGTTCTTTGTGGCAGGTCTGTGCAATGCATAAATACTAGTATCACCACAGAGGTACCCTGAGTTTCCTGTAACAAGCATACTTTTTTAACCGCCCTTTCACTAAAACCAAAACCACACCAAAGCACAAAACACAAAAGCCCTGGCCCGGCTGTTTTGCTGCCCTTAAGCAAGCAGTTCATTTTGCAGTTTTGTGTGAAGAGCCTGCATTAATTCCCAGCAGGGCTTTTGTGAAAGCAGCGGTGGTGGGATGGCACAGGGGTGGGTGGCAGTGCCTCTCACGGCGTCCCCGTGTGGGAGGAATGCCCCGCGTCCAGACCTTCCCTGCCCGCTGCACCACTGCAACCAACAAAAAACATTTCTGCTGTCTTTCCAAACATGTTCAGCTGCAGCATCAAGCTGTATTGGAGCTCTGTTCACTGCTCAGTGCTTTAGGCAGGGGGTCTCGCTGAGTTTACTGCAGCAGTTGTGACCTGACTGGCTCGGCTGGCAGCTTGCTCTGCGTTTTCCCATTTAGCAAGCTTTCAGTCAAGCCCTGTCAACTAATCAATGTCTTAAGCCGAACCTGTGTGCTGATTTCTTCACGTGCATGTTGGGAGGGGGGCTAGTTTGTAGGCTGGTTTGGGTTTGCCCAGTGCATTTTGAAAGGTTTTGGTTTTTTCTCACCTCCACGTTTCGTATGTGGAGGAGTCCCCAGCAGGCAGCAGGGGTGAGAGGGTCACCATGCACAGCTTGGAAGGATTTCTCCTTGCTCTGTCACTGTGATAGCTCTCAGCACGTACACAAATCAGTCAGTAGTTTTTAAGAGTTAGTATTATCTGTCATATGAAGTGAAACAGCCCAAGTAAAGCACCAGGAAACAAATCCAAAAGTCAGGGCCATGTCCTTTTCCAGGAAGCTGTGATCCCAGGCAGGATCTACAGGCCTGGCGAGGTCCCCTCCGGCCAGGGCAGCAGCCTTCATACCTCCACTTACAAATCCAGCTGCACCAACGCAAGCTGAGCTGAGCAAAGTTTTATGGAGAAGAATAAAATTGCTAGAATCTTATGCCCAAATTCAGGCCAAAATCAGTAAATAGCTTGGGGTGAAGTAAAGCAAGACAGGAAAGGAAATAATCTATAATGTTTTGTTTTACTTTGTTTCAAAATGGACTTTCAAAGGGCCAGGAAATATCACCTGATCCCCAGATGAAACAGAATATTTTGGCCGATGAATTAAATACCTGGGGTTTGGCCTGAGCTGCTTTTCACCTTCTCCACAGGTACATGGGGTGACTCGCATCACCAGCACTGCCATGCATGGCTCTGAGCCTACTACCTCCGGCATCCGCGCCAGAGGCAAGGGGATAATATCAATAATATCGCCCTAAAGGAGCAGCAGCCGGATCCAGCCCGGCATGGAGCGGGGCTCGGATACTTTGGGCACCCCGCAATGCAGGAGACATCCACCCCAAAGGTCGGGAAGCACAGCAGGAGATGGGGGCTGCAAAATGCCCCTGCTCACCCCGCTGCTGCTGGCCCACGGCAGACTTCCCTGCTGAGGCAGGAGCAGGGGAGAGGGTTAAATTATCTTTCAGCCGCCAGCTCCTCCTGCTGGGAAGGGAAAGGCTCCGGAGGGGTTACCTGGATCGCTTCCCCAGGCGCCGAGAGGGTGTCTCCCACCGCTTGCCCTTTGACGACAGGCCCGCTCACACCCTCTGCCCGGGGGACACAGGAGGAGACCATCGGTGTTCAAAGCGAGGAGCCCCAGGCCAGCCCTATCCTCCTCGCCCCGAGGAAACTTCCCTCAGGTGGCAGGGCCGGCTGCCCGAGGTGCTACGGGGAAGGAGTGCCAACCTTTGCCGCCTCTCAGTTGCCAGCCCCCAGGGCAGGTACTCACCCTGACATTGTCCCGATACGGTGAGGTAAGGATTGCCTGTCCCCTTCCCCCCACCCAAATACGCCTATTGCTGTGTTAATATTTAACCGGTCCTGCAGCAGGAAGTAAGGCACAGCCAATGACACACACGCAGGAGCAAACTTCACGCCGTCCCAACCTGAAAAGCTGGATGGGTGCCGCCGCCTGATGTCTCACAGAGGATGGCCACGTCGCCTTGCCAGGACGCAACAGGAAGCGCAGGATTTATTTTCCCCAGTTTATAACTGCGCAGGTGAGTGTGTCTGTGCCCCGGGCCAAGGCTGGAGCTCGTCCCACTGTTACAGCGCTGCAGGCAACATGGGAGAGAGCAGAAGTGCCCACCCGTGGGCCCTGCGCCAGTCGTGCCCTCACCAACAGGCGCTGTCACCCTCAGCCGGGGGTGTTGAGGTCCATCGGCAGCCCCTGACAGGGTGAGAGGCTGAGCCAGGGCCAGGGAATGTCCAGGGGGTCCAGTCAAGAGCTGAAGGAGACGAGGCTGGGGACAGGGCTGGAGGCAAGGCCACGACATGGTGCCAAGGGGCCCAGCCAGGGGACAGGGCCAGAGGCAGGGACGGGGCAGGCTGAGGCATCGCTGGGGCAGGGGCCGACAGCCCCAGGTGGCTGATGTGGGGCCCTGGGCCGTAGGCAGGGTGGGAGAGCCCTGGGGGGCTGCCGAGGGAGGGTGAGGCCCACTGGTGCCCCCAGGGCCCTGGCAAAATGGGCCCTTACTGTGAAGTGCAACTTTATAAGCAGCCGGTGAGAAAACTGAATTGGTTTTCCATCTTTTAATGGAAAATACAGTCCCCAAGTGTTCTATTTTTTTCCTTTTTTATTTTCATATTCTTTTCCTCCTTTCAGTTTTTATTTTGGGGATTTTTTTATGTTACGTCAGGAAAATGTTCATTAAATCATTTCATTTAATTCTGAAATATTTTGTGTTTGTTTGCTCAGTTAAATCACACCTTTTCCTGCCACTTTGACAATTGCGTGTGCTCACCAAAGCTGCCGTATGCCTCATGAGAGATGCTCTTTCAATGGCTGCAGTTTTTGCCTTCCTCTGAGAGCTGAACAGCATCCTTCGCATTACACCATCGTTGGTCAGTGAGTTGAACTGATGTGACACATCAGGAGATTTTTATGATGAGTCCATCTGCCGGGAAGCTTAAATCATAAAGGGACATATGACTTTCCTGAACTATATTTCCTACTAAGCATGGTAACAGTTCTAGCAAGTAGAAATTAATGCCACACTGACTCAAAATGAAAAGGTTCAGTTCAGCAAAGGGAAATGAAACAGTCTGTTTGGGGAATTTTGATCAATTTCCAAAATTAATTTCAGGAACTTTGCTTTATTAGAAAAAATATCACCCTGACTTGTTAACTTTGTTTTTTTAAAAAAAATACCCCCCTGCCTTTTTAAAAAAAAAAAAAAAAAGAATCTATGAAGCCTGCAGGAAGTTTTTCGACCAGTTGTAATTTTTTCTTTTTGCTTTCTTGCTTTTCCAAACATCCCTTTTTTTTAAGTCTAAAATCTCACACTGTTGTTCAACCAACAGCCCTACTTTCATAACAGTATTCTTGAAATACCTTCTATGTATAGTTTGATTTCCATCCAAATAAAGCTAGAGGAAGAAAAG